CATATATATATATAAAAATTCTCTGTTACAACACTCTTGTCATCATTTCCACATCTCTTCACTCCCCTCACACACTCCGTGCGTGACGATTCAGTCCCGTCCCGCTACGCAATCCTCGCTCTGCTCCAGGCGCTTGCCGTGTTACCCCCTCCACCCCGCACACGTGGGAAAGAATTGAGTGTGCACGAGAAACGCCAACATCACAACTACCTTCTGTACTCGGGAAGCTGGAATAGTTTCAGGCCAGCTGGATGACGTTACGTCAGTCAACAGGCAGCAGAGAACGAAGCTGGGCTCAGACATGCTTCTACCAACTCTGGAGGCTACAAGAGTTTTACCTCTGGCAATAGCAAACAGTGTTTTTGGCAGGGGTGGCATTAAAAAAAAAAAAGCTTGCGGCTTAGTCACCTTGGCTGAAATCAGTGCAGAGTTTGTGATTGTGAGTGCAGGAGTGGTGAAGGGGTTGCGTTTAAGCCCAACTGGCCTTCACACATAACAAAGCTTCCTACCAGATGCTAACAACAACAGCAGCAGCATGTATCTCTCTCTGGAGTACCCAGTAATATGCCAGGACATACCAAGGCTTCACAAAGTGTGCAAAATGCATTTGGTCAATATAAACATTTGATTAAAAAAAATAATAAATGATCAAACAAGAAACAGAATAAAATACTGGTTTTGCAACCTCGTCTGTACAAACAGTCAGGAACTTACATATTTAAAAAGAGTTTGAACCCAAAGCTCGAGTGAGATCTACCTTTTCTTTTTTTAAAATCAAAAAAAAAGTAAACTTGGGTTTTAAAACAGTCTTGGCCCAACACCTTTTGTTCAAGGTTTCCAAGTGCATAAATCTCCTCACTTTCCACAGCAAGCTAACCCCCGGTAGCTCTTCACATGTGTGCGTGCTCTGACAGTCCCAATGCACCCAGGAAAGCGGTTATTGCCGGTAACAGCTGCGTTCAAAACGCTGTAACATCGCCCGTATTAAATAACCCCCTGTAAAAAGACTACCTCTTCAAACCACTTTGATCAGGATACTAACGAACGGCATTAGCCTTCTTAAAGCAGCGATCAGGCACCTCTGCCCAGAGAAGCTAGTCGTTTCAGAGCTGCCTGGCAAGACAGATATTTTTGTAAGAGTTGAAATGCTCAAGAGAAGCGATTCGATGCTCGAGTTCCCGACCAGGCGGCATCCCCTTCATGTGGACTCCAGAGTGTTCAGCTGAAACAGGTTGTGGTTGGTGGGGGTGGTGAAGTAGAGCTGTTCGCTGGGCGAGCGGTTGTCGCAAGGGCTGTTGAGTCCCAGAGTCCTCTCAAAGTCCAGGAGCTGGCCCATGAAGTTAAAGTTTGGGGAAATGTTGGATTTTTTCCTTTTCACAAAGTCATAGGCATCATTCAGGGACAAGTTGAGTTTTTGCATCAAGTAGGCGACAGTGACTGTCACAGACCGGCTGATGCCGGCGAGGCAGTGAACAAGGATCCCACACTTCTTGGAACGGGCCTCATCTGAAACAAGACAAGGGGAAGGGGGAGTCTATTATTCTGCACCAAAAACGCATGGCTTTGGAGTAGGGCCAGGTGGCAGCTGCAAGCTCCCAGAACCAGGACGACTGCCAGAACTGGATCCCCTGCTCCTAGCGACACCATCTCGTGTCCCTCTGACGCCCACATCTCTCCCCAAAGGGCTCCCGAGATATTCCCACCGCACAGCGAAGCCGTGCATCCCAGCTCCGCACAGCGAGGCCAAGCATCTCGCGTGCTTGAGAAGTATCAATTGAGCCTGGCAACGCATCCCTTGCCTGGGTAGCGGTGGGACCCTCTATTCAAACACAGAAATGGGGTAACCAACAAAAGGCAGGTGAGGCTGGAGACAAGAGCTCCAGGGAGATGCTGGTGGTCAGGCACCGGACGCCCACCTCACCACCAACTAACTGGGGAAGGCTGCGCCCTTGATGCGAGGCTACAGCCCAGCACCACGCAAGCTATTCTCTTCTGCTGTTCTTGTCCTCCTTCCACTAGAAAGTTATCTGAATGTAGTCGAAGCTAATTTAAGCGGAGTCTGAAGTGCAGGAACTTCCCTTATTGTGAAATTGTTCTTTAGGATCGACAGAAACGCACTTCACTACAAACAAACGCTTGTGTTGGAGGAGACTCTCAGGATGAATGGTAGCAGG